CCGTGGTGCCACACCTCGGGGTGCCCGTGGAAGTACGACCCGATGCCGTGGCCGACGAAGGAGGGGCAGACCTGGAAGCCGCCCCGTCGCGCCACGGAGCTGCGGGGGGCAAAGAGGACACCGTGAGGGAGCACACCCCGAGCACCTCCGCCAGCCGCAGCAGCATCACCCGGCTCCTGCAAGGCCTCACCCCCGCCCCAGCGCCGCGTCACCACTTTCAGAGCTACCATCGGTGAGCCATTGTTAGGTTTCCGAGTTAACATGCCTGCCAGCAGAGGTTGGTAGCTCCTGTGCCAGCCCTGCTGTCTAAGCACCAGGTTTTTTGCAGAAGAGGGTCCTGCTGCCAACAGGGAGAGTTAAGAGCCCTCCCCTTTCCCTTTCAGAATACTGCAAATGGTCAATACCAAAATGTATTGAAACTCCAGCAAATCTGTTCACGCTAATTAACAATGTATTTCTAATGACCCCATCACCACTGTAGCCAAAACAAGTAATAACAAATAGTGTTTCAGTTCTGCCTGGGAGATCTGACCTTCATGGCCTGCCTCAGGGAGAGGAGAGAGAGTCTCCTGGGAGCTGCCTGAAGGACATGGCTGGGCACTGATCCCTACCCATGTTGGGAAAGCAAACTCCTATCCCAATCCCTAAAAACCAGAGGGCCTGGAGATATGTGGGGCATCCTCTGGCTGCTGGGCCACCACATGCCTGTAGGCTTCACTCCTGGGCTCTGCCCTTACTCAAGCAGCAGTGGAGGGAGCGACTTGAGGCAGCTCAGCCAGGAGGGCTGACCACATCTGAAACAGAAATGTGCACAGATTTGGGGGGACCTGGAAGTGGATTAGAAGTGACAAGGAAGCTACCCCTGTCCCTGCATATCATCCCCACACTATTTCTAAAATCAAACAGGAGCAAGACAAGAAGGCACTTAGCCTGAAAAGATTTCACCTGCAACATTAAAAGCTTCATTTGTTTGTTGTAAATCAAGGTAGGCAGTTAAAAACTCCAGGTTTGCCTATATTTACACCCTAAAAAATGCTTCCTCAGAGTTTGACTACAGGTGGAAAAGTAGAAAACTTAAGAAACTCAAATAAAGGTGTAAGCTCTCAGAGAAATTAAAGCATGTTAAACCCCATGGGGAGGCTCTTATTCAGCTGCAAAGTGGCCTCAGCTTGCTGTACGCAGTAATCCCTTTGCACACCGGGCTTCACAGACCCTGCAGTGCTGGCTCCAGTGCCTGCAGGTCACCATCCCAGAATTTAATGTCACTGCAATTGAGGGACATGGTGCTCCACCACAGTGAAACAGCAATGAGAGAGGAGAGTTGGGTCAATGGTTAATAATGCTACCATGTTCAGACCTTAAGAGCATGTTTTAACAGGATTTGTATATTAGCTTTTACCTACTCATTGCCCTGATACAAAGACTCATCACAATTCTTTCATTAATTCTGGACAAGAATGGAAATTTCAAGTTTAACTGCCCCCAAACTCCTAAGTGCTGACAAAGAGGGTTACCAATATGGCTAGAAGTTGGGCTTCATCTGGTTGTATTCAAACTCCAGGCTTTAACCTTATACATCACTTATGTGGAAAAAAAATCATGAATGTTTATGCAGTGAAAAGTCCTACTAGAGATGGAAAAGACTTTCTCCTCTGCCTTTCTATCATGTCACCCATGTCTGGGTCAGAGATTTAGCCTGCTGGTTATGACGATGCTGAAGGCCAAAGAAGAAGCATGGGCAATGGTGAGAAGTTATAAAGCCAGATTACTCAGAAACAAACAGAAAACAAAATGGAAGATCTCCAGTGACCAAGCCCAGAGCAATGCAGATAATGATTCCCATATGGGTGAAGTGATTCTCTGAAGAGAGAAGGGAGAAGCCGTCCATGCAACATGTGATCAGCTTTTCTTTCACCTTCTTTTGCAAGTCTTTTTGCAAAAGCATAAACAATCCCACTGATTATTCAGCTTTGCTGATGTCTTTACACGGCATCCCTGACCACTGAGAGAGCATGGACATCTTCTGAGATGCTTTGTATTATTTTAAGATTTTTCTCCCAGAAAAATCCATCTTCTTTAGCAAGACAGAATGTTTTTTTCTGTGCAGCTATTCTTCCAGGCACCAGGGATACATGCTCTCCTGTGGGCAGGGGCAGCTCTCACCTCAGCACTCAGCTGCTGCCGAGGGTGGCAGTGGCAGTAGCAGCTGTGTGCTGGGCACTGGCTGCATAAGCACCGGGGCACACGGAAGGCAGTGTTAAGACAGCATCCCATCCTCACATGGTCAAAGAAGTGGTTCTTGTGCATTTCAGTGGTGAATTCTGCCACTGACTTACCAAACAGCTTGAAACAACTCTGTTGGCATCAGTACTTCAGTGGTTGCTGCCTGTGATCAAAACAGGGGACCCTGGAGCTCACAGGGCTTTGACATCTGCCCTGACAGATGCCCGTTCCCCTCCTCCTTCCCACTTAGTAACGTCTACATACAGAGCTTGAGTATTCTTTACATAAAATGCAACATGGTCAATGAACCTGAAGTGATGCACAGAAAACCTGTGGAGAAAATAAGCTGCAGGTATGAAACTCAGCCATATTCAATCTGGTTTTAGTATTTGCATGTGCTTCAGAAGCACTTTATGGGAAATTTCACTCCAGAACTACTAGCTTTACTTTGGAGTATTTAAAAAAATCCTACTAAACTTATATTCTTGTGGACTTCCAGTAAAACATCCAGCTTTCATAAAAAAACAAAGCCACTAACCTCAGCTACAACTTGCAAAGGCAATCCTGTAAATGTACACGTTGGCTGTAAATGCTGGCAGGGAGGACTTCAAAACAGCTCTGAGAAGAGTGAATTGAACTGTTGATCTTGGTCAGATCAGCCTCTCTGGCCTCCAGGGTTCCCAGACTGTGGAATCTGATTTAAAAATCAGAATGCCATAGGGCGGAGCATTTTGCAAGAGTTTGCCATTTGCTGCTGACAACTGCTCAACACTTTGGTCTCGATGTCTCATTGCCCAGCTCAGGGTCTGTCAGTGGTGGCCTTTGTTTCCAGCTTTCCCTGGAAGGCAACCTTAACAAGACTGCAGCCCCAGCATCATGAGCTGCTCCTTGCAGACAGGCAACGTAAGATCAGGCAGCTGGAGGACTCCTGATTGCAAGTGGGAAAGCAGTGAAAGTGGGAGGCAGGAGCTGGCATGGCTGAGCTGGGCTGCCTGATATCTGCCATGGGAAAGGAGAGCTGCACTGCTGGGTGGATGTGCCAGTCTGCCAGTTCCCCTTGGCCATGGTGCATGTCCCAGCCAAAACACTTCCAGAGCAAAGGCTGGGGTAGCAGAGCCACACCACACCAACAGCATCAAGGGGAAAAAAAGGTTCTTCAGAATAATAATTGTTAAAAATGTCCATTGACATTATGATCACACGTTTTATTCTTTGAGCCATGTTGCATGCTTGGACAGAGGTGAATTGGACAGGACTAAAAGCATAAATGAGCCTAGTATTTGATTCTATGTTTTGCTGCCATGTGTTTCAGCTCAGTGGCTGCAAAGTCAAGAGTACCTGCAGTGCTGCTCCTCTTTTGCTGATGGCAGAGTCAGGGAAAGTGTCTGGTGTTGGGATGGACTGGCAGTGACCAAGCTGGTAAAGGAACATCTCTGAGGGCCAGGCTGTCCACCTAAATCCATAAGCAGAACCTCTCGTATGGTGGTATTATGCTTCTGAGAGTGGGCAGAGACAGGAGAGTTGGGTGTCAGTTGCCCCCTGAGCATCCTCTTCCCACGTTGCCAGACAACAGCTAATTCTCTGAAAGGAGGGCTGAGTGTGGAGACATGCACTACCATGCTGCCAGCAGCCCAACAGGGAAATTGCCACAAAGCAGCAACAGGCAGGATCAACTCTCTACAAAGCTCCCCCTGATACTCTGGAGCCTCCCCTGGAAGGAGCTCTTGGGTGATAAATACTTCCAATGAGGAGCTGAAAAGCAAGTTGAAATAATTTCCTTAGGGGGCTGGCCCTGTGCAGATGGCCTCTAGGAGCATTTACCGGGTATCAGGCATCCCAGCTCCAGACGAAGACACATCCATTCAGTCTTTGGACTGGAAATCCCTTTTTTTGGGGGGAAAACCCCTCCCAAAACCTGCATTTTTTTTTTTTCTTATTTGCTACTTTTTCCTCAAGGCAGATCTAGTCCAGTATTCTAAGCCGTCACTGAAGAAATCAAGTGAAACCAATCCCATTTTCAGCATTGATAGCAACTGCTTCTCTGGGCTCTCTGGTGGCACAAGGGAAGAATTTGGCTGATTAGACAAGATGGCACAGACTGCTTTGCTACCCAGGCTGAACATCTCAGTGAACTGATTCCCAGCTAGGGACACTTCTCCCACAGTTCCAGTTTCTTTCCCTGTATATATTTTCCAGGGATGAAACTTTATCAACAACACTCTTGCAAAGCAGCATGACATGAGTGGCTAAAGTTGCTAAACTAATCTGTTTTATACTTCTGGGCAGAGAACACACTTAGGAAACTGAAAGAGGTAACTGACCTACCTATGATAATTGTTTTTTTAACTAGGGATCTGAATTAATATATATATTTTTTAAAAATTAGAAGTAATCACATTTTTCTTAGATATATTGTTAGTTAAATAACCACTGAATGGTATATTTGCGTTATTATTTTTTAAATTATTGAAAACAGCTGTGGTAAAAATATCTATTTTGAATAGTATCGTATTATCTAATTTGAGAAATTACAAAATTCTGCTGGGAAAATATTAAATTATTTTTCTCTTAAATAGTAATCCTACACTGAGGGAATGCACAAGTTCAGGGATTCCCTATAATGACAATAAATGTTGAGGTATAATTAGTAATATTTTTGAAAGCCAACAATTGTTTTTTGAAAGAAAGGTACATTTTAGTTTCAAACTGGAACACAAATTACTGTATTTTTCTTACAATAGTGCTGAACTTTTATTTGAGGTTCTCTGTTTCTGAAAGCAGACATGATGGATTGAAATAAAAGATAATTTATTGCAATGCTTACTTTCAAGTGCAGAGAGAAGCAGTGTAATTGTAATTTACAGTAGCTGTCAAGGAAAATCTATCACAGATGACATTAAAATGACTTATTTTGCCTGAGCCACTTATTGTTTAAATGTGCATAATCTGATAGAAACAGATTTTTTTAAAAATCTGCTTTATATTGTTCTAAATTAATATCAAAACATATACTTATGAGTTAAACATTTTAAACCATTTATTAATACTTTCATCACTACTATTTTTTCCTAGGAGTTGGAAATTGGTTTATTTAACAATATCACATTTATGTTTCTTAGCTCTCTACACTCACAACACTTCCATGTGCCTAAACTCACTGTCTAAAAAGTAGATATCAAACTACATTTGTTTGTCTGAAACAGAAATGTCAGAAATGGTAGAAGAAAATGGAACACAGGGCCCGATTCTGTTTCCACTGGAGCTGACCAACGGTTCAATAAGAACAGGTTAGCAAAGATTTAAATTTTTCTAAGCATAGTAATTCACAAATCCATGCAATCTTTTATTTGCAACTTGTAGCTGATGGGAAAAGGAACTGCCATCCAGGAAATAGTGTCAGCAACTGGGCTTCCGTAACAAAGACTAATGCAAACTTACCTCTGCGGTATAATTATTCTCAAACCCACTGTAGAAAGGAAACGTTCTGATTATTTGTGCCTATGCCTTGCATATCACTTGAGCACCTTTATAGAAATACTGATGAAAAAAACCTAGACACATTTCCATTCTGATGGGCCTAAATGTTTTCAGCTTGTCCGTGCTTGTTCTCAGGTATTTATGGTATCTAACTCTCCAGAAACTTAAGATTTTCATTTATGTATATACTTTATATGTCTGTCTGCTTTCAAATGTCGAATAACAAATAACCAGAAACACACAGTTTCACCAAACCAAGGTGATCTTTCAGCAGAGGCAGTGTTAAAGTAGTTCTAAACAAATCACCACATTTAAATCATCGACACAATAAAATCATGAGAAATAAAGTTAATGACCTGCTATTTCATATGTAGTTTTGAACATCTACTAGCTTTGATTAATCTGCTTTTCAAAGGGGGCGCTGACTATATATTTACACTTTGCAAGTAAACTGACCTCCGTACCAACACAGCAAAAATCCAATGTCACATTCAATTCTGTTCTTTCTTCTTCTTCTTCTTTTTTTTTTAATTTTTTTTTTTTTTTAATACAGCTAGAATTAATGTAGTGAATCTGTAATGAAATGCATTATCCTGCATGGAGATTTATCAGATTTTCCAATTGAATGCCATGCTTTGCTAGCACTAGCTGGAGTTCACCTGCATGTTGGTGTGGCGTGTGGCTCTTTTTTGTAAAGAGTTAAGTTGAACACAAAAAAAGGGAACAAAGGTCAGCACCCAGCCGCCACTTGAATGTGAGATTTTTCTTTTTATTCCCCTTGATGTATACTAGGCTCTGTGTTATTAGTCTTAATGATGGAAAATTGTAGTGTTGATACAAATCTTTTTTTCAAAGTAGTAGGCGGGAGCTCCATTTGTTAGTAAGTTTTTTTGTGACTAAAAGCCACGGACAGTACATTTATGTAGCAGTAAAAGGCCTAGATGCTCTTTCCATAGCAGAGCTAATTATTCCTACTGTGACCTTACTGATCTACCCTGTTCCTAGTACATCTCATCTGCACGCCTGTTCCTCTGTGTAGATGGTGTCAGAGAATATGAAAAACCCTATAATGAAACCATTTTCATGATGGAGAAAGGCTACTGGAGTTGCACTTGCTACAAAGAGGCTCAATTATATGAGTAATTGTGATAATTTTCTACATTCATAGCCTTCAATGGGGAAAAAAGAATGAGAGCCACAAAGGAAAATTACTTTAACAAGAAAGTACAGAGAGTAAAAATGGAAGAAGAGACAAAAAAGGGGAAAAAAATAACCAGAAAAAAAGTTTAAAAAATAGATCTGGAGGGAGGAATAGCAAGACAGGGAGAACAACAGAAATGCTCAAAAAGCCTATGTGCAGCTGTGTTGCACAATTAAATTGAATTTTTTTTCTGCAGTTGATGAATGTGACTACTGCAAATGTGCCTCTGTAGTTAGCTATCATTTGTTGTTCCGTGACAGGAAAAGGATAATTACCTCTCAGAGAGAATCAAAGGCTGACATGCCCTTTAGACACAGCCATGAATGCAGAGCTCGATAGAATGCTTGAATAAGAATCCAGTGTTCTGTGCCCCCTTCTACTCAAGAATAAATTTTGTTAAAATGCAAGAGCACCACCAGTAAATTTGTTGAACCCTAGGTGTTCAAAAATATGAGGTGCATCTATCGACTCATCCCATTTGCAAAAATAAAACTACATTTTGAATTCACTTCTATTATATTCATGGACAGTAAGATAGTGAGATATGCATTAAATTTCTTTTCCCAGTAGGGGTCTGATTCAACATTTCCTATGAAAGAACAGAAAGACACTATCCTTTTTCTCCAGGCTAGTTAGCCTATAATTTAAAACTGTCAAAAACACAATTTTATACAAAGTCTTCAATAAAAGCTTCTCAGATATAACCCAAAGAGGTTTTACTAAAGTTTGATTCAGACTCTGTTACAATATTTTTAAAGCTATAAATACATCTAACTGATATTTTGCCGTTCTCTTTTTTCCTTAAAGTATTTGAAGATTTACAAAGAAAAAAAAGCAGCATCCTTTCAAGGTGACTAAGCCTTGCAGCTTTTAAGTAATCAGAATGTATTCAGTAGCATGTTGGGACTATTAATAGTCCAGAGAAGTACTGCTTAATGAAATGTATACGATAGATGTCTATTTTTTTTTGGTAAACATTTTAAAATAATCCATAGGTACCTTCAAAAAACTAAGCCGTATTTTTATTCAAAACTGCCAGCAGCAGAGTCATGACTGCATTTGTGTGAAGGCTAGAAGAGATGCAAAGTAGGGAAAAATCTCTGAATGTGAGCTCTTTTTTCCTTGTGATGTTAGCATGCACTGCTTTTTGTAAGATCAGAAGCTCTCAAGTTAAATATTTTTGTACTTTTTAAACAAAGAGACTTACTTATGTTGACTAGTTCCTTTGTAACATTTGTTATTGCTGTATAACAAAAACAATGGTTTCTAACCTTCTCACATCCTTAGACAGATGTGGTGTAGTTTCACACACAAATAAAAAATAAACAAAACCTCACCACAAATTACATCTGTTAATTTAAATCTACCTTATGAATATCTTTGACTCCTTCTATAGTTATCATTGCTGACCCTAGTATAATTCACTTTAAAAAAAAAAAATCTCTCTTACCCAAGGAACAACATTATAGCTTGGCAGTTCACATACTGATATCAGACTGAAATGATGGTTTTGAATCATAAAACATGTCATCAGCTTTATACCAAACCACCAATAACCTTTGTCCCACTTGCCAGCCCTCCCTTTACTTGTCAATATAAGGCTTACCTGATTGTGTTTCCAATTACAGAGAAGGGAGCCCCTGGTCTGCAAGCTGCAATTGCTTCATCTCTACATTTCCTGGCAACCTCCACTAACTTTTGACCAGATTTATCCACATTGCCCACCAAAAAGGTTTCAGAGGTGTCACCATGGTAGCCATTGTAATACACCTAAACATATGCAGAAATGTAAAGACGTTTTCTCATTTTGCATCCAGAAACAGATCATCTCCTTAATTAAATCCATTCTAAGAATGAGCTATATATTGCAACAGATAGACCATGGCTAAGCTGTATTTGCAAGAATGAGACTGGAAAAGCAAAACATTGCAGAGGAAAAAAAAAGCACCATGAAAGATTGCAAGGTGTGTAAGGGTTGCCAATTAAAAATTCAAGAAAAGCAAAATTTGTGCATCGCTGCCCAGCAGTGTGCGAGACGATGACATTGCTCAGCTACAGGAGATGAGGCTAACTGGGCTGTATGCGAGAAGATGGGTGGGGGCCATGCACGAGCTGAATGAAAGGGGCCTTGGGGGCCATCAGGTGCCCACCCGCGCCATCCACCTGTCCCTGGGACCAGGGACCTGCTTGCACCCCGCAGTGGTAGGGCATTGAGCCCCGGTGCTGGCCATGGGCGCTGAGAGACCACCGGTGGCTGGCAGGGAGACCTGTACCTCTGCAGCCACCATCCCCTGGTGGGTTTTGAGGTGATGATGTGCACAGCAGGGTGAGAGGTGTACCCTGCTGCCAACATCCAGAGGGAGCCCCATGGAAGGCACAGGCCAAATCCACTGCAGCCACTGCACATTCATTTAATTTCTAAACTACAACGTGGCATTAACATTGGAATTTACTTCTGATTTCCAGAAATGAATTTTGAAAGATAATAAATGTACCATTCTGGCACTACAAAATTTCATGTGTCGAAAACATAGCACCCTGTTGAATTAATTTTTCTTTTTTTGATGTTTCATAGGTTTTAAACCTCAGCTTTCCAGAAATTCTCTGTGAGGTACAGGAAACCCTGGCTATGCCCCATGGAGTTTGGCAACGCACCATTAAAATGGGGTTTGAAGCTCTGCAGTAGAGGCAGGCAGGCACATAATTGTAGGACCAAGATGAATTTCCCTATGGAAAAACAAATTATATTGGTGCACACTTTTGATCTTCTAAACCATTTTTTCTCCCCCAAACAGTGGGCAACTATCCTTCTAGGATTAATAACTCACCAAGCTCAAAGCACTGAACTTTTGCCACTGGGGAGCTATTTGTGAAAGACAGACTTACATTCTTTTTAGTCAATTCCAAACTAAAAAAAAAAAAAAATGGCTACAGACAGTTTATCCCAAGGCTGGGTTTGTGTTCAGGTTGAGATGTGAAGAAAATGCAGGCAGTTAGAAGCAAGGAGTGTTTTAAAGAAAGGTGAGTGACAGCAAAGGCCCAACCAGGTTGCCACTGCTCCAGAAGAGAGCAGCTGCAATCCCCTGCTCTACACCTTCCTCTGCCAGTCCAGTCTGCCAGTAAATTTTTTTTTTTTTTTTTAATTTAATGCCCATTGGGTAGGTTTTAACCTAGCTAGTTCCTACTTAAACTGAACTAGTTCATTTTTAGCTCTAGAAAGTACAACACACAAAACCACAGAATTAAACATCATCATCCCAGAAAGGCAAATACAGATTTAAAACACAGGAGAGCTTAAAAATAATAATAATAATTATTATATTTACTGCAGCCCATCAACTGCAATTACATATTTTTGACATTAATAAACTACAACCACAGCAACTGTAACACACATTCCTGAAAAGTCAACGAAACAACCAAGTTGTGAGGAACATTAACCTGGTAATGGCAGGCTGAAAATTGTACTGTGCTGAGGATTCAGTGATGGATAATGCTATTGTTTCCACACTAAAATACATTTTAAAGGCTAATGATTCAAGCCAATAAAATTTTTTACTTTATCTATGAAATTCCACTATCTTAATTGTATAAAAAAATCAATTTTTTTCTTCAAATAATTTGTACATAATGTGAAGTGTTTACACTTAATAACCAGAATAGTATTTCATCATTTTATAGAACCTGTACACAATTATAAACAATTTCTTGTGCAATATTTACTTTGATTTTTATTCTGTCCACCTGTGAAATGTCCCAGTTTTGCTCATTAAAAATAAACTAAAAGATCAGTTAGCAATGCTGAAAAGTAATATTTTTTTCCTCAGCTATTTTGGAACCCAGCAATTATCAAATAGTACAGTTCAGTTTTAAATGACAAAAAAATCTCACAAAGATAATCAGCAATTCCCATCCTTGCAGGAATCTTCACATTCACAGAAACGTCAAGATTTATTTTATTTTATGAGGTTAAGAAAAAAAAAAAAGTCTTCAAAAATACCAGTAACATTGAGTCAGACATTATTTGTAAAGCAGAGTGGACAAGATATGCACACCATGTTATTATAAAAATGTTTTGTTTTGTTTACCATGGGAAGTATCTGTCATATGAATCTACATTCTTTTTTAATCTAAGGCACATTATTATCCTGACAGATAAAACAAAAAATTAAATGAACCTTAATGAGATACAAAGAAATCAGATGTTAAATCCTTAGCTGTTGCACACTGATTTAGTCTAATAAAATGAGCAAACCTACACCAGTTCACCGAAGTAAAAATGTAGACTAAAAATATACTTTAAAAATGATAGATCGCACTGTGTAAACCTGATAGTCAGCATTCTACAATCAGAAAGTATGGAGATGGGGAAGAATTTAGAAAGATTAAAAAAACAAATGAAACCAAACCCAGTTCTGGATCACACATGAGTATACCATGGGAAAAAGGTCACTGACCCTAATTTTAATAGAAAAAATATTTTAGAAAGCTTGAATCTCATGCTCAGAGGTAGGTCTGATAGAGATTTCTTTACTTCTGCCAGTATGAAATTTGGGTCCATGGAAAATACTATCAAGTTACCAAGAGTTTCTTTAGTAATTAAAAAAGCTTGTTTTATGAGATGTTACTCCCTTGCACGTGAGATATTATGGCAAAATAACAGTGGGATTCAAAAGACGTCTGTGTTCATATTGGAAATAAATAGCACTTTGGGAAAATAAAAACATGCACAGTAAGAAGAAAAAAAGCTTTTGCAAGACATTAATATTTTTTTTTCTCATAAATGAAAGGAGAATTAGGTTTCCAGCTTCTGTACTTTCTTGCTCCTAAGAAAATCCAGCCAGTGTTTATTTAAATAGCTGTAATTGACCATTCTCTGGAAATATTAAGTCACAGTTATATCACACTATTTCTGTTTCTGCGCAAAAGGTTCAGGGCTTTTATACCAGAAATGGAACACAACACTACCTTCGGGGATTTTAATAAATGTAGGGAACACTGCTAGCAAAAGAGTTGCTGTCCAAATAGACTGACATACACAGGCCAATGTAGCCTCTAATGACAGAGTAAGATAATGACAGGCCCCACTCAAAATCAGCAGGAAGAGGAAGATCAATCTTGGCAGAGTGAAGGAAAAATGCTGGCTTTCTTCATGTTAGCTCATCTCATACATATCTATCTTCAGCTGCTGCCCAGTACTGTGGTGCTCTGCATTAACTACACAGTGGATCAATAACAATTACACCTTCTCAAAAACATGACACATAGCAGGATTGGGTTGACATTTCACTTAGGCCAACATTGATCTCAGTGCATCTGATTCCAGTCCTAAATTCAAGTCAGGCCTGGGTCTAGCTGGAATAAACACACAGTTAAAAACAAAAAAGGAAACCAGCTGCTTGTGCCTTGGCTCAGAAGTAAACAGCACATCCATCTGTGCATCCCCCATCTCCAATCCACTATTCTTCTTGTTGCTACCAGTGATTCTAAAGTTGATCAAAGACTATTTTTTATATGAATTACTCACCGTGACATCAATGTTGATAATATCTCCATCTTGAAGAGGTCGACTGAAACATAAACAGAAAAAAACCCCAAAATAATGGTGACAGACAGTTCCCAACAAAGGGAACATAAGAATAAACACCTAATGACACATACATAAAAAATCAGGGGGTAGGTATTTTGTGGTGGAGGAAGGCAGAAGCAAACAGAATAACCATTTTTAATGTTCAGCTCTCACTACTTAGAGAACAAGTGTAGCTGAATATAAAATAATGAGAAACAACTACCAGAAAAACATATCAACACCTGAAAAATCTACCATTATATTTATTCTCTTTCTCTCACTAGGGTTCATATTTTACTTTGTGAGTAGCTGAATGTATTGCAAATAAAAAAAAATCCTACATAAATTCAAATATATTTATTCCTTACCCTATACTTATTTTACTGGAGGAAAAAACCCCCAGACTGTAATGTTTTTCTTTTTTTCCACACACCAAACATTAAAGGCATTATGCTATTTTTTCTAAAGTGTCTGGACAAACAGGTTTGGGTTTTTTTTTTACTATTTCACATACATTTCTATAACATCTATCAGCATTGGGTGGTAACGTGATATGCATCTCCAATATGTTTACATACGACATTTAGTTCAGCTGAAGTATGTTCAATATTAAACATAATTTATTAATTTCAGTTTAACATTTTCATTCCCGGTGGTAAAATGTATATTATTGGGGAAATACCTGTCAGGAATACCATGACATACCACGTTGTTTACAGAAGTACAAACAGATTTTGGAAAACCTCCATAGCCCAGAGGTGACGGATACGCATTCTGTCTGATTATTTCATGATGAACAATGGAATCTATTTCTTCAGTTGTCATGCCAACCTAAAATACCAAACATAACATCCTGTTAAAAAAGCAAAGATAGTTTCTCATATTTACTGAATGTGATTGCAGCCAAGCGTTGCAATGAAATCTTGGATGTTTCAAATACGCTGCTTTGATACAAAACACTAAACTGTCTGATATACTTTATTGATATATTGGACCTTTTATTTTTTTTAAGAGAAAAAGGTTTTAAATAAAGCATGCAGTAGAAACGAACACTCAAAGGTTCCTAGAAAATGTAAAATACTGTCTACTTCCTTTCCGTTCTTTTTTCCGCATTTGCTTTCTCAAAGACACCAATTTTCCGTGGCATCTTGTTTCAGTAGCTGCTATAGAAATGTCTGGGTTCAATGCTTTCAGTCCTTTAACACACAACATTACTTTCCCTTTTTATTTGTAAAAGAAAGGATCTTAATTCTTAGAACTGCCCAGTACATTTATCATAATGTACTTGTGTATTTTATGAAATTGTTTTCCAAGTATTCTTTAATTTTAAAAAAGATTTAAATATTTGGCTTCATATCTTGAGGATATTTTATTTAAAGTTGCCATAGCCTGGATGATCACAGTGAATCTACAAGCGCTTATCCATCATTTTTAGAAATCTTAATTTTTATGCTTGACACTTTCTAGATTCATCTTTTTCTCACAGTTTTACATATTAAAAAAAGGTCTCATAAATCATTCAGCCATTTTCTGAGTATCCATGGAGTGGAAAAGCACATGCTTAAAATAACATTCTTCTCACTTTTCTTTTGGATCGACTTTATCTCTGGAATGGTTAGAGCTGAAATTTGAAATTTGGTAGGGAAACCTCCCTCATTGAGAAGAAGTGCCTTTGAGGGTTCCTCTGCAAATTGATTTTGATTTGAATGAGTTTGAGCCTTTGAAAAATCACACCTCGTACACACACACTACAGTGGCTGTGATTTTGGAGGAATTTTTAGTAACACGTGGAATACAGGTAAGCTGTGGCGCAGGAGGCATACTTTTCCATACATTGAAATATTCAGTGATCATGCACAATGAATACAGCGGAGTGCACTTGTGTCCTGTGCTGAGGATTAAACCAGGTTTATTTGCTCAGCTTGCATATTGTTCAGTACAAAAACGTTGTTGGGCAGATGAGGAGGGATGAACCCACTCCAGTCCAGGATTTGGGGTTACTGTGCGACCCCCCTGCTTTGCAGTAGTCATTGCAGCCTCTGCGCTGGCATGGCAGCCACAGCCTCAGCACGCTGTCTGTAGTGAATACTGCAGGCACCGGTTTTGGATAAATACAGGTTTGTTGCTCCTGCCTTTGCTCACCCATCTATCAGCTTCAGCCCAGAGACACATTGAACCGCTATGTATCAGACTGGGTTCTGTCTGCTGCTGCTCTACTCAAGGAATTTGACATGACTTTTGGACGCTCAGCAGACAGACCCATGCTGAGTGGCAGGCTCACGCACTGCGAAAAGTTCTGCTTCTAACAGTATCTGCTTTACTTTTAAAGGAGCTTTTGTTAGCTGGGCAAGGTTGGGGACCATCTATTGTGCACCTCATTCCTTATTTGGGACGAGGCAATCTGACTATAACAAAATAAATCCATGTCATACAACTTGGTGCTTTATTTCCAAATCTTTAACTCAAATCCATGAAATGCTATCATATATAATACCATAGTGTATCTTTAAGTCCCACAGGTAGTAAATGGTAATATCAAAACCATGCTCAGCCCAAACTTTGTCTCTCTGCATCCATGCAATATAATGCACCTTTGTTATACTGGGGAATGTTACCACCATTAGCTAAAGCACAGCCAAGGGCTGGTTTGGAGGGCGGCATACAAGGTAGGTTCAGCAAGACAACAGGAACAGGTGGAGGGATAGGGCTCTCCAGATAAAATAGGAATGCAGAGTTTACCTTATGAGAATAGCCTAAAAGAGCTTGGTTTGTTTAGTCTGTCACACTGAAAGCTGTAATAGCTCTATTACTGCATGAAGGGGACAGACTCAAGGAAAGGCAGGAAGCTGCTTACAGAGTGGTGTTGGCACAAGAACAAATGGGTACAAGCTGTCCACGCAGCATCAGAGTGGAACGCGGTAGATGCTCACTGTCAATGAGGGAGGGTTTTGGACGATACTCTCTGTCAGGGGAGTCTTGGCCGAATATTTACTGGTGTAAAATGGAACTCACCAACTGTCTGTGGCTGACCTGGGCAGTGGTCTTGGCACCACAACTCCAACTACCACCTCATTCCCAGTCCACACCTCCTGGTCACATAATACTTACCTTATACACCTTCTTGTTCCAAAACATTAATTACATGTATGTAGTATTTTGCTACTGTGTATGATTTGGCACATACTATGAACTGCATCATAAGCTACACTGTGCTGCACACATATGTATTTTACATGTGATAACAACCAAAGAGTATTAGTGAAAAACTGCTCTCATTAAAAATCCATGTTGCACCCTGATCCTTCAGAAACATGTATATGCCCTTAACTTTACATGAGTCAGTTTTACTGTACTGGGAAATAATTGCATATAAAGAAGTTAAACATGCACGAGCCTATGTAAGATTAAAGCTTCAGGCAGTTTTATTATGGGCAACCAACCCCAGATTCAGAATTAAACCTCTGGGAAAGTGTGATGACAGTTGAAAGAAAAATGCATAGTAAACTGGTAATTTTTCCCCCTTTTAAGTCAATGGCATTGACCTACAGTCCCCATCTATCTCTGTATCTCATAGCTACTCAACCCATTTTACCCTATCCAGTATGCTATTACATGAAATACGAAGGTAAGGCTAAAAAAAGCACTCCATCTGCAAAACCTGGTAGTAGGCTCCTCCCAGAACATTTTAACTTGGGAGGTATCCCAAAAAAGCATTCTGTAGAAACATTTCGGGAAGCCATGAGGCTTTATTATCAATGCACTCTGGAAAATTGTGTGGAATTTGGCAGCTGTTTTTTCCAATTGCAACTCTTTTGAGTTGTGCCGGACCCCATGGGACAGCAAGGGGCTGAAGGATGGACGAGAGCGGAGGAGGCAGCCCAGCCCTTTGGACTTGCACACATGCAGAGCCGGAAAACACAACATATGAGGAAGATGGGCCATGAAATGAAAGGAAAAAATGTAGCATGGGCCTTATGAGAAACTCTTGTGATTTGGCACAATCTGAACAGAGTGAGATGAGAGACAGAGAGATATTACACCTAAGCCAGCAACTCATTCTAAGTACTACATACGTCTAAAATACAGAAATTATTAAATAGGCATATCATGAACTGAAACAAAAGTTAAATTCTTATTTTTTTCAGGATCTAACTTAAAGTTGGATACACATTAACAGAAAGTTAAAACAAAGAGTAGAAAAAAACCCCAAACAAGTGAAAGCATAAAAGACATCCAAACTGTTATGGGACTTCTGTAACTGTTACCTTTAAGCCCTTTCCAGCCAGAAGCAGGACATGACGGGCCAACTGACAAGCTTGACGAAGCCCTTGAATCTGATCTTCATTCTTAATTTCTATGTCGTCTCCCCAGTCTGGTACAATGCCTGTCGTCACATAGTCTGGCTTCTTTATGTGCTTGGAGAAAAAGGATTGAAAATGAAGATCAGAAAACTGAGCATGACAATGGGATCATTTTCTCAGATACTGCCTCCTGCTTCATGGCAGCTTGCCCTTTCTGTCGTAGTATCGACCTTCCTAAGCCATCAGGGCAAACCCTCAAGGCTGCCTCAGTATTTCTTCCACTGCCCTTTTGAACTTAACATTGCCTGTTACTACTGACTTACACAGTCTGCTAGCTTCCCAGGGCTGAAACCCCAGATACTGCAGCCAACTTCCAGCACAGATAGTCACAAGTTTTGAAACTGTGAGAAAGAGACTTAAAAACTCTTCATTTTCTTTTGCAGAGGCACATTTTCTACAAAAGACATCTAAACACTGGAATTGATGGGCCATACATACAGAATTAGGCTCAAAAATAAAACCGATCAAATCTTTATGTTCTCATTCAGACAAAACTCCTATTAAGTTCCATGACATTGCTTTTTCTTAGGGCTTAAGTTATTTTAATTTAGAGGTTTTTACTTATCTAGTTCATATGCTGTACTCAAATTTGTCCATCTACAACACTATGTAAGAGCATCCCAATTCGCTGTCAACGGAAGTGTAATAAACTTCATTTTTTCCCACATCAAGTTCTCAGCCCTCATATTGAAGTGAAATTTCATTTCTGATTTTTTAAAATCCACAACAATTTCATGACACGTGTATAAACACAGCAAACTAATAATAATAGTAATAACTTGCACAGAGATGGAAATGCACCTTCTCCTGGAGGGTCCCTGGGCTGTTTCACTTGCTGGGGAAGAGTCCCTTTGCCCACCACAGCTGGGCTGATTCCCTGTCATGCTGGCCACAGGGTGGGTTTTGCACTGACTTCACAAAATACAGAATCAAGCTGGCAGGCAGAAAACAAAGTGGGCGCTTGGGCTGTACATAACAAGACCATAAAACAGCAGGGTGTAGGAGTAAAGAAGAGTGGGGCAACCAGTTAGTTCTAGTGGAACTTTAAACAGGAAGATTATTGTTACTCCAACAGTTATTTCATTTTTACTCTGATAAGAAGTGAAACTGTAGTGGACTTAAGCCAACAGAATTTCAAATTTACATTTTGTTTAAATTAATGGCCTATCAATCCTAACAACATCCTACTGCAGTAGTTTGGGACTTAAATTAGAAACCCATAGGCTGGATTAGCAACTTCATACACAGCAGCACCCTCGCTTTCCCCTTGCAGGGCACTTACCTAGTAACTGCTGAGACCTGACCCTGCTGACCTGTAAGATCTGTTCAGGGAGAAGCCCCAAGCAGCGTACATACAAATGTCTATGTATACAGTTTCACACCAACATCTTGAAAAAAAACCCATGTTATTTCAATGTGATTTCTGCCATACTCTGTATAAAGTAGTAACTTTGCCCTCAGGTTTTCAGAGTTGAAGAACTGGACTGATTTTTAGACAGTCTGAGAACTCTGATCTGTGAAGACAACTTTTCAGTACGACAATAGATTTCTCCCTCTTTATCCTAAAAGAAGCATCTAAATACAGAAAAAATAGTTTCTAAGTTCTAAAATTTTTAAACCTTTGAAAATATGTAAAGCATATAACCCCATGTTCTCCCTGCACACAGAGCTTCTACTGCCTCTTAGGGGTAAGAGCCCTACATCTAGCATCCTTATCTGCTTTCTTATCTAATAACTGTTTAGTATTTCTGGCCCATGGAAATAGTCTATATTTTGCTTGAGAAATCTATAATAAAATGAAAAGTAAAATTAAAAAAAAAAAAGTACTAATAAACATCCTGAGAAGGACTGTTTAGAAAGGGTACTTTGGTTTTCTTTTGGCTAAGGGAAAGATACTAAACAGTTAATCTGTATGCTGTAATTAAACAGAGAAAAAAAAAAAACAACAAAAAAACTAAACCAGAAGTGAAACACATGTTAAAATTGCATGAAAAAGTTCCTTTTGATGCTGAAGTAAATAAAAATATAAGTATATGTTGCAAGAAAAACCTACTCAGGCACAGCAAAGATGAGTTTAGAACGTGCAATGGGGTTGTGGAGAGCTACCAGCCTGTATTGTATGTTCTTCTCCTAAATCTGGCATAACCAATTAACAAAACCATCAGCAAAATATAAACATTTTTATAATTAGCTGCTAGAGATTTATACAGAAAAGGACTCAGATGATCATGAATGACTCCTACTGACTTTTGGGAGGACCATCTATAAACTGTTCAAAATAAGAATCAGGACCCAGAAGTGTTGACAGATGATTTTAATATTCCACGTTTACACTACCATAACTGAACAAGCCCCAGGTTCAAACTCCCTAATAACTATATACACCGCTGTGTTTAACATGGTAGGCAGCTGAAAACTTCTCTCACCAGTGCTTCTATTTCAAATACCAGACCAAGCAACAGGATGGTGATCCAAACCCCCAGCTGTCGGACAATGAATACACTTGATCATGCCTGCAGTCAAACTCTATATTGACTGAAGAACAGATTAGATAGCAGAAATTGCAGTACCTTAGGAACTGGGTGAGCTGGAGAAACCATGGCTGGGCAAACTATACTATAAGCAGTATTTCTTTGTTCCTGAAAAAAGAAGCATCTTCGTTGTTGATTGCTTGACTGCCTGTGCAGGTAGATACGATTGCATGAAGAAAAGATTATGTGACAGCCAGTCACAGAACCTGTTAACGGATAAGTAAAAATGGTTAGTGCTTTTTTCTACTGCTATGTTACAAAATGGAAAATATGCAAAAAGAAGTGCATTGTGTAAAACAAACCACAGAACTCATCTAGTAGCCAAGGGTAGTTCAAATTGTTCAAATCTTGTACCATTAAAGTAAGAACATTAACACTGAGAAGGAATAAGAACAAAAAAAGTCCCCAAACAATACTTAGAAGCTTTAAAAAATACCAGATCTGTTTTGGTTGGATGCATTAAAAAGTAGCATGGGTATATTCCCCAAAGATTGCAGCCAGGAATGATGCTCCTACCTTTCCCTGCTTGGAGCAATTTGCAAGGCTAGAAGCTGCACTGTTCAAGGCTTGGCAAAGCAGTGAATAAGGGACAATAGCAAGAAAAGAGGAGAGAAAAAAAAAGATGTAATATTGATTTCAAGACAATATTTTCAGCTGTATTTTTGCAGAATTGGTCACAGATTTGAGCATAACCAAGTTAAAGTTGCTCTTGTCATTTGCACCAAGACACAAGGAAGAGGTTTCAATTTGTCCTGCCTAGCAGGTCAGCAGAACAAACTTCAACAGATATTTTTCATCTCGGCCAAAGGCAACTGAAAGGATCAAAATTTGCAATTGTCTTGGAATATCTGAATCATAGTTTCATTTAATTCACACGGGAATTTGGGATGGCAGTTCATCACAATATTCATTGCTCAAACTTAGTTGTTGGATAATGACACACATACCGCCCCCCCCAAGAAAAAAAAATAAAGAAAAAAGGGGAAAAAAGGGGCATCGAGGCCGAAAGATTGTCAGAGGTGCCAAAACCAAAATAATCCATCACAAAAGACAATGCTAGCATCAAAACTGGGAAATACACTAAATTCAAAGGAATTATTGACACTGCCCAATTAAACTACAATTACACTTAGAGCATATTTCCATTACTCAAACATTCTACAATCTAAACAGAGGGGTTTTTTGAAATATGTTTCCCACAATAGTTAATTTGCTTCTGAAAAATGTCATATGCATACACACACAAGCACCATCTTTTGTGGCAAGTAACCCTTACAAATAATTACTCTTCAGTAAAAAGGAAATGTTTTAGTTTAAAAATAACTAAACACTTTTATATCACAGAAATTAAGAAATTTATATACTGCATACTTTGTAACTATGTAAAAACGGTGTATTTTTTTAGAAGAAGATTTTCTTCCATATCTTGTATGTTTTTCTTTTGTTGTACCTTCCTTCCTTTCTTTTGGATGCATTTATCATGTTCAGATGAAGAAATTATCCTTCCATATACACACTTAGCTTCACAGATAGCCCTTTTACAGCATTCAGTGACATACAGGAGATTCAAATTACGCACATTTTTGGAGCCCCAAACCCCAGAATGAATGAAATACTTGCATATGGTTTGTTTTAGAAGTGTTCTCAACTGTCTCTTTGCACACTGACCAGTGCTACATTTAGTTACCAATATCTGAAAGGTTGTAGAGACTTTTACTCCATACAAGCAAACTTTTACTGTTTCATTTTAAACTGTTGATAAGTAACAAGGCAGAGTTGGAGAGTGAGGCTCAAATCAAGCACTTAGTGTAACCTAGGTACCCCAATGGAAGTTGCCTGCTTCAAAAGGGAAGTGAGTGTTTCCATGGAAGTGGAGCTGCCAAGTTAACAGAGGGTTGGATTAGTTTGGTGGGGGTTTAATTATAATTTAATCAACAACGTCATCATCTACTGCTTTCCCAAGTTCTCCTTCACAAGAAAAATAAATATTTTTCCTACTTGAAAAAAACCCCAAAACTGGGCCATCTAACCTGCACAAAGATGTAAGTGCATCCAAAGAGCCCAAAGCACCCTACAAATTCTCTGGCTGGTCTGCACCCATTTCTGGAAGCTGGAAGCACAGAATCTGCTGAGGCAGAAACTTCTGGGATATCAGAAGCTGGTCATCAGTCTGCCAGTGTAAGCTAAGGTAGCTTTTTTACAGAGTGCAGTGCAAGTACCTTGCTCTTAACACAGCTGAAGGTATTATAAAAGTATTGAAAATCCACACTCTCTGATGTGGTCAGCTAAAGTCCATGTGGACATCAATATAAGAACATATATTTCAAATGTTCTCCTTGACACATAGCATGCTGTCTAGGCACCTGTCTACTGTGTAAAAGTTTAATTGGGGAAGAAAAGATGCAAGTGTGATTGTCAATTATTCAACAATAAAACTCCAAATGTCTCAAATACACACTCTTAAAGACATTAAACTAGTTTATATGCATGGGTGCATGACTATTGACTATCCCACATTCAGAAGGGATACCTTTTTATTTGGAGTAAAATTTTTACCTCTATTCTCCCAAAGATACAGCGTAAGTGTTGTCAGAAGATAACAGGATAATAAGGTACTGTAGTCTGCTGTTATTCTACTAACTACTCATTATAAACCAGACGCATACAAAAATATCTACTACTTGAACAGGTGAAATGCGACAACCAAATAAATATCACCATAGTATTATATGACTCCTAAAATACATCACAAGAATTATAAACAAAGGACAACCAAACCTTTATTTGAAATATAAAAAAATTATAACAGAAAACATTCTCCTACAAAGTAAAAATAAAATTAAATAAAATGGCATTAAAATGTAATGAAGTTACTGTTTTATAATGAAAATCTGGACTCCATCCACACACTTCCTTCCTTAAGAAGAAGGCCTTCCTAATGCCTACATAGCTTCTTTTATTTTTTAAGCTCCCATATTCACAGCTAATTCAATATAGCAACATCATCAATCACCGGAGACAGGAACAACTGTCTGTATTCTCCAAGTCTGGCTCAGATATTCCCTCCTCCCCATCCCTTACACCTATCAAAGCTTTTCTCAGCGCTTTATTTACTTCTGCAAGACTGGCGCTCAGGCACATCCTTTTTGTTAAGCTTTCTGTGTATATTAATTACTGTAAGATAGTTCATTAATGAGGGATTTATCCAGTTTCCAGCAGAAACTGCAGCCATTGGAGAGAGCCCACAGTTTGAAGCTGGGTAGCCTGGTAACACACCAGGATGCAAAGTTGACCCTTTATGGATTCCTTCTCTCCCCCAAAAGCAAGGCTACGTCACCTGCCACGAGTAACAGAATATTTACTATCAGCTGCAATAAGGGGAATTATTACCAGTGTTACTGAATCACATCAGCAGATATGATGTACCAAGCACAGAAAATTACAGACAACTGCTCCTCTGACTCAACAATGAATCACACTGTGCAATCTGTATGCACGCATGTCCTGCCGGAGCCGCTGGATTCCTCAGCATACCTTCCAGACCTTAATTTGTATTAATAATATAAATATGCATTGTGAGCTTTTGTGAATTAGCAGATTAATTTATCTTGTGTGGAAATTACATTTTCTTTTTCTTTTAAACGAGTCAGTCAAAGGGGCTGAATACAGAATTCAAGTATGATGATGGGTGGGAGCATTTTAAGTGACCGATTTTGCAGCACAATGTGCCCTATATTTATTAGCCTTTTACTCTAGGTCTATTTTAATTGTTATCTGTTCATGCATGCTACACTATATAATGAAATGCTCCCATTTCACTTACAGAGTAGAGAGTTTTTTATGTGTATCTATTAATGACCCTTAATTAAGTTGATTTTAGTAATTTAAATGTGATTTTCCTCTGGTCAAGAAGTATTTTTAATGGGAGATGTTGGAAATGAACTCTCACATAAGCCCTTTTCTAATGCTTCTTGTTTAACAGTTACAGCAATTTATCAGTTATGTTTTCAATGAATGAGGTGTGGGGTAGCCCTGCAAAAAACTGCTCTTCTACATGATTCATCAAATGGGATTGCTAGCAACCATGTTTTTGGTATTTATTTATGAGAGACTTCAAATTTCCAAGCAATTAGCAAAAATGTTACCAAAGGATAAACTTCTTGACAGTTCTAAGGTACAATAAATACGAGTACATCTTGAAAGAGCCAAGAAATAAAATTAACATATTTTAAAAGAATTTAGTCATAGTATCAACAGAAGCACAGTACCAAAATTATTTAGGATTACAAGAATTAACATGCTACCCATTTAGGAAATAAAATCAACTTGCTCTTGATCAAATAAATCTTACTTAACATAGATGAACAATTAACATCAAAAGCATTGTTCTGATAACTCTTTTCAAATTATGTGATTTTTTTTTTTTAACTGAAAAAAAGAGTAACTGTGGAGACTTTTTTAGTATATATGCATTTGAGGGTAAAATACGAGAGACCTTTAACTTGGCTTATCAGGTCATTTTTATATATGATAATTGTGCTTCTTGTGCAAATATTCATTTTGCTGATACTTCAGACAAACAAAGTTTAAAATGAGGTGTTAAAAATCCCTATGGGTAATAATATGTGGAATCCAACCAATGCAACTAGGTAAGAATATATAGCGTTTTACTGTTAATTACCAAATGCTCCCATTTTTCAATCCAAAATAATGGCTGATGTTTGAAAGACGTTTACTTGTAATTGTAATTCTAACTGTCTAATAAAACACTGACTTCGTAATCCCCATGTTGCAAAGGTACATCCAAGCTTCAAAAAAAGGATGGAAAAGATTAAAGGTTCTCTCCAACTCTGTGTAACCTGTGTAGCAGAAGAGCAGCTCGCATTTCACAAGCAATAACCTGTGCATTTGAAAATAAAAAAGGGGGAAAAAAAACAACATAGGGAAATGCCTGAGGCAGAAGTTGAAACTGATTGGGCAAAGTAGAAGGACAAGAGCCCTTGAAATTAAACAAAAGCAAATTCATTCTGTTGACAGATGTTGATTACATCAAAGCCACTAAAGAACTTTTTTCTGTTTCATTTTTTTTCCTTTTTGCAACTAATACCTCCACATTTTCTGTACATTAAGGATATAACATATCTTAATCAACATAACCCAACACGTAATAATTTTTAAATTTGGTAAAAGTATATTGTAACGAGGT